GTCATACAGAGTTGTTTATATTAGTAAATATAATTTTAGGAATTAATAAATACTCTGCATGTAGATAGTACAGTACTTTACTATAATAAACCAGTGCAGTGTTACAACAGAATGATGATTTGTTGACTTTTCATTGGACGTTTGTGGACTTTATGTGAACAGCCATGCCATTGTTTAACCTAAATTCCTTGCAAAATTGCTTCCAGATTCAATTCCATAGCACGAATGTTTTAAAAATTTTCTGGTCAGGGAGACATGCCCCAGACCCCTGTAGCATTAGCATGCTGATTGTGCTCTGGAAAATATGTTGACTTTTGATCTCACAAATTAGAACGCCCCTTCAAACATTCTGTGTACAGGTCTGAACCTATGTGTAGTAGCACATCATAGATCTTCAAACACAGCCAGAAGATGAGATGTATTTGAAAGTCTGTACAGTAACTCCAAAAACAGCAGTTTTGTACTTGTTATCAGCAAAATTAATGTTATACTTACAGGAAAATATTTTGGTGAGAACTAGTTATTGAAATTAATATTAAAGACAGGGAATATTTTACCATATTTTGCTTGTGTGAATATTATATTTCTTTGTTTTATTCAAACCAAACTACTTTAAATAAAAATCTTGTTAATGGGTAACAGGGTTGTTTTGAAATATCTTCGATTTTAACAACAAAAAAAGCAGTATAATAGGTCTACAATACATTTGTATTTATCGAAGTGAAACCAAATAGGGAAGTATAAAGATGTACATTAGATGGATAATTAGTTCCAAATTAATCTTGCATAATTTAAACTCTGACAGAACTATGCTTTTTAAATTATGCCCTTAATTTGAATTTACCACTGCCATGTAGAAAAGTGCATAATATAACTAATTTTACTAAATAACATGTAACAGCTAACCCATTCGGCACTGTTAGTGATATGTTAGATAAAACTATTAAGTAATGTCTTCCAAAGATGGAACGATCATATTTAGCAAATTTCATACTCCTTGGTTTGTTAAACTAATCCACTAAATTCATAACTGATGTCTCAAATCAAACAATGTAAGATGGTTGTATCATTAAATATTCTGATTATTCATCATTAGTTTTATTATTGTGTAACATCTGACTATTTGGTGTTATTCACAGTAAAAATGAAGAAATCGAAAGGAAAAAAAGAGTATTTTCTTTGGACAGTGTTGTTGTGTTTGTTTATTTGTAGTTTTACTTCACATTTTCAGTTCAGTTTAAGCAATCAGATTGATTCAAAATTGAGAAAAAAATTTGATACTGATGTGTTTTTGGCAGACCCAAACTTCAGATTTTACTTGGATTTCTCCATGACCCAATTACATGCCTTAAATATAGGAATTTATTTTTGTATGGTCCATTATTGAGTTATGACATGTTTTCATAGTAAGAATGATATTGCTAATCTGAAATTTTCTTTACACCAAATGTTGACAGACTTGGCTTGTTGACTTAATAAAATAACTTAAAAACCTTTTATTATTATTATTCTAGGATCTTGCTGCTCGTAATGTTTTAGTCAATTCAAGCTTGGTGTGTAAGATTGCCGACTTTGGTCTTTCCAGAGAAATTGAAAGTGCAACAGAAGGAGCATACACTACAAGAGTAAGCTTAGAGGTTTTTTTTTTACACAAAAGAAATATTAAGATAGATTTTGTATTGTAATTTGCTCACTGATTGTTAATATTTCTTTAGCTTTATTGTAGCCTTGGAAGATTCTAACTAAATCTATAAATCTAAGATGAAGTCATAATTTTGTATATAATTTCATACTAATATTGCAAAATTCTATTGATCTTGGGGCCAGGCTTTATTTGGGCTGCTGATCAAAGGTCCATACTTTCAGCTATGATTGCATTATGAAAATTATCTTGAAGCTCATTATTTTGTTCAAAGAGCCAGACAAAGACCTTGTGGAGGCAGTGGATACTGCCGACTGATTGCTCATCCTCTGATCAGCAATTCAATAATTAGAAATAGCTATACTTGAACCCAAGGGATCTCTGACTTGGCTATTTAGTCCAGGTGTAGATAAAGTTGAAAATTCTGATTTTAATAATCGTAATGTGTTTTATTCAAATATGTTTTTATGTTGGTGCAGCACACTTCAGTCAGAATTAAAAGCACTTATACAATTGAAACAAAAGTATATATATTTTTAGCATATTTCTTTTGTGATTTAGTGGTATTGAAGAGTAGGTAAATAAGCCCCCAAAAATATTTACTAAAATAAAAAGTATGTTTTCTAATTAATGCCTCACATTTACAGAAAAATAATGATTTTCTGTAATTTTCTTAATTTGTAAATAAGCAACACAAGTGTAGAATGTAACAATCACACTTTTCTAGGGTGGAAAGATTCCAGTTAGGTGGACAGCCCCTGAGGCTATTGCCTTTAGAAAGTTTACTTCGGCTAGTGATGTCTGGAGTTTTGGAATTGTCTCTTGGGAAGTTTTATCTTACGGAGAGCGACCATACTGGAACTGGCCTAATCAGGATGTTATCAAGAGTATTGAAAAAGGCTACAGACTTCCTCCACCAATGGCAAGTTATTATATTAAGTAGTAACGTTGATAGTTTTCTTCATGAAAATTTTCTGTATTATAGCATCATTTATAAAATTGTATCTTTTTTGTGTTAAAAAGAAATCTTACATCATGACTGAAATACTTACTAAACCAATCATATGTTTAATAAAAAAGTTATACAATGTTATTTTATACAAATACATATCTTCTACATTGTATAAAGTTGGCCTTAATGGACTGCTCTTGCCTGTGTTTAGAGTGTGAAAACAATTAGGCTTCTAAACTGAAGCATTCATAAGATTGAAGCAGTCCATTAAAGCCAAATCTCTACTATGTCCATAGTGCCTAAAATACAGTTAAAATAAGTTATCTTCTACATATTGAAAGACGTTTTCTAAACAAACTAATTGTTGGATATTAGAATGTTAGTTTTTGTTTATAAACTGATGAACACTGAGAAATCACACTTCATTTTTTTGTGTGTATGATACATTTAACTGTTACAAGTATGAATTAATTTTCTTGGTGAAGTTCATTTTAAGAGTATTTGTTCTTTGTACTAGGATTGTCCAGAAGCTGTGTATCAACTTATGTTAGATTGTTGGCAGAAAGATCGATCCCACAGACTAACTTTTGCAACCATTGTGAAAACCCTTGACAAACTGCTCAAATGTCCTGAAAGCCTTCGGAAAATTGCACAAAACAGGTAAATTATGTACCCGTAAAAAGAAGAGAGAGAGCATTGTTAATGAAATATCTATGGCCTGATTTTTATTCAGCTATGATAGGATCATTGTAGGGAGTTACAATATGTTATTAATCTCTATTAAGTTTGTTATTTCAATGGGAAAAAATAATGGCCTAATGGCATGTTTATATAAATGTCACTATTATTGAGCTTCTTGTACCTCTAAAATAGTGATATCTTTTTTTTATCAATAAAGATGTTTTAAAAATTAAAGATAGCTTTAATCTCTTTAAAAACAAATACTTAACTGTAATTCTACATTTTGCACTAATGCCTTAATTGACCCTTGATATCAACTATTATATGTATACAATTGTCGATATGTTTTGAAAAATTAACTAAAACTAACCACATAAACTGTTCATTCCAATACTAAATAAATTATAAAATCAACAGTGAAACTACACAATAACAGATAAGCAGTATCAAATTATTTTAAAGTTTACAAACATAGAAATTAGATTATAATAAAACTTGATGTATAAAAAAAAACTGCCAAATATTATGGTTTTTCATGCTTTTTATTTGATGTATGAATCAAAGAAAAAAAACATAGAACTCTATTTAAATTTCAAAGGTGAAATCAAACTAAAAGGTTTAAAGCAATTTTTGAGAAAAAAACAAAAAACTGTTATTTTCTCTCTATTCCACAGCATAATGCAAATTCAAATCAATTGCTTGGTGGTGTGTTGTAAATTCAATAGATAAATACTGGTAATTGTAAGTACTATAAACACACTTTATTTTGTAAACCAGGCAAAATCCACTTGATCCCAATGCCCCAGATCTGACTCAGTACAAGACTGTAGAAGAGTGGCTAAGCAGCATCAAGATGATGAGGTATCATGAAAACTTCCAACGGGCAGGAATCACTTCAATGAAGTCAGTAGCACAGTTAACCCTTGCTGACATCACTTCTCTTGGTGTGACCCTTGTAGGCCATCAGAAAAAGATGATTAGTAGCATTCAGACACTTAGGGTTCAACTGAATGCCAACATGTCAGAAGGGCTATTGGTGTAGAAGGACTGAAATTAAGCAGTGCAAGTGCTTGTGTTTGTTTATTTCTGGACTTAATAGCACTTGGGATTTTTGCATCCCCACACTGCCAGTATTTGCCAAGAGGCCAAGCTGGGTGTGTGGGTACCTACAAAAACTGAAATAACTGTGATGCAGAGGAATTGTGTTCAGGATTCCATCTACTTATGCTGTAGCTAGAAGATCATGTGCTCTCACATGAAAGGAAGTTTGATGTTTGCGAGAAACTCAGAGAAATAGCTGTGGAGACTTGATGGTATCATAAAGAAAAAGTTCCTTCTGGTATAAGTAGGATGAAAAAGTTGTCAGCATTCTAGGACAGTCACGAGTTTGGAAACGTCTGTGTTTACTATCGTGCCGTGTTACAAAACTGAAACAACTTGTGGAGGGAGAAAGCATTACAGCTCAAGTATGTTGAAAAACAAATGCTACTAATTGATTTTCTCAACTTAAAAGTTATATAAAATCTAGACATATCACTGTTTTACATGCAGTATGAACATTCAACATGACCATATCAGCTGTTTAAGTGGTAAGATATGTATATCAGGTACTTTAATCCACTGCTGCTTTTAATAGTTTGTACTAACACAGTTAAGGGTTGCCATTTACTAAGAGAAATTTACACCATTATTTTAAATAACAGTGGTGGTTCGGGAAAGTTTTATGAACCCCATTGTAAAAAAAGTAATATATAAACAAAGAATTACATCAGAATTGATATTAATATTCTTCCCAAATTAACAAAACCAAAATTACACTACTAAATAGTCCTAGAAATCATTTTTAAAAGGTCTTGGATAGTTTCAGTTCAGTAGTGATAATGTCAGTATTTCTTAATCCTGTAAACTTATTGATTGGTTGTTAAATGAATCAACTGGTGCTTATTGGATTGTATGGTCACGTTTATATTCTGCACTTCTGTTCATATGCATCTTTAGTTACTTCCATGGCAAGGCTTCAAGAATACGGTTGAAGTTGCCAGCATAAAATTTAAAATGTTAATTTTTTCAAAGTAAGATTTTTAAACAAATTTGTTTTGTTATATATTATGCATGTAAAAAGAGTTTTAGTTGACCACATGTTTGGATCATGAATTATTTTTATTTCTCTTAAATGTTTAAGATGATAAATTTACATTTTAAAATTTTATGAAAAACTAAAATGCTTAAATTGTTTCTGTGTGATATTGTAGTATATTATAGGCTTCATTAAATCTCAACAGTAGTAGTTGTTCTGGCAAGTCTTTTCTTCTGTAATCTTGAATTTTGTAAAAAAAAAAACAACAACAACATTTTCTTGTTTGCTGATAAAGTGCAAGACAAAGAAACCACAAAATTAAGATAATCAGCAAATCTTGGGTAGAAACAGATGTTTCAAAATGGCTGTGGTTAATTTATTGTATGAGTCTCTTGGTTGAATATGGTTAAAAGTTTGTGAAGTAGAGTGATAAACATTGTAAAATATTTCTTGTAAAAAAAATATTGTAAGTTAATGTTACTGCCACAATACACAAATTTAAGCATTTTTTTTTATTTAACATGTACACGTTCTTCTTGTGACATTATTATTAATATCATTAATATATGGGTTGCAAAGTTAATTGGCATAAGGTTACAATTACACATTTAATATACTAACTTCAGTGTGTGTGGCATGTAGTGGGCTAGTCATTGCTTGTTTTTTCTTCTGTTTTTACATTAGGGTTATGGCTAAAGTAATATTACAGTAACAGTTCAATCCTTTCAAAGCTAATCACTTAATTATTTGAAACAAAATGATAGGATTATTGCTTGTATGCTAGTGTAACATCCCTAGTATGAGTGTTTAATTTCATTTGCTTCTTTGAAAGCACACATGTACATCTGCAGTAGTATCTATTACATAATGTAGTGAAACTTAAGTAATAACATCACAAATGACCAAAAACAAAAGTTAAAAAGCTCTGATTTTTGTAAAAAAAATTCTGTTAATTTTGTTTGATTTGTTATTTTTTCATCTCCTTTTTTAAAATAAATATCTACATTTAAAAAATGAAATATCTTTATATTTCACCTGATTTTGAAATTGCTGTTTAAAAATTTATAGCATGGTACATTATTATATTCATAAGTTATGTCCCTGACTTTAAAATATTTCTCAATTATCTATAATTTGTTTGTTTTATCATTACCATTCATTCATTTATTTTATTGATATCTTCCTTACCTAAAAGCAACCAGATTTTTAGGACTTGTATTCTAGTACATTTCAAATTCATAAGTGTTTACTATGAATACCATACCTTTAATAGAAGGAACTTGTTTCTTTATCCTGGCAATCTTTAAAGTGGGTTCTTTGAACTATGGTTATCTATTATTTTCAATAGCAAAATGTTTTTGAAGATCTCCAAAGGCTGGGTGAAGAACTTATAAAAAGAAAAAAAGACTGGTTTAATTTTATGTTTAAATAGGTGACAGCCTGAATACCTTGTTTACTGTAGTATACCCTTGTACAGATATTCCACAAAGTTTTTTTGCTTGATCTACAAAATCCAATTATATAAAGTTCAATTGATAAGCTAGATATTTTTTAATATCAATACAAAATGCCTAATGGATAAAAGGCACAGTAAGGCTGTAGAGAAAAAGTAAATTAAAAAAAGTGTAAGGCAATGCACACAATAATCAACTTGTTCAATTATATGGGCCTTATTCTAGCACATTTTTGGTATTTAATATAGTAATAATTATCTTATGTTATCTTTTAATTCCCATGAAGAATCAACTAGTCAATTTTACTTAGATCTTGCTGAGGGATATGGGTTTCACAAAAGGGCAGTCATGTCTTGCTAAATATAACATCATTGGTTTTGAAAATGAACAAGTTGATTACTGTATTTGTCATATTAGGATATCAACTATGCACCAAAATTTCTAATTGTTTATGTACATTGCCTTTGTACTTTACATGTTTCTTTTTCTTCACAGTGTTTTGTCCATTAGGAATTTTGTATTAATTTCTTGTTGCTTTTGACATGATGTATCTAATAACCTACCTTTTCTTTATTACAAGAGAAAATAAAAGATACTAGAAATGATTCTAATTAAAATTTAAACATGCAAATCATAATTGATCAATAATCACTTTCTTGACCACTGGTCACTTAATTGCCTGTACTTCCTTGTTTGATCAGTGTAACTGATCATATTTGACTCCTGGTGGTTTTAATCAGTTGGTATAACTCTTTATAACTATTGCATATACTATACCTATGGTGGTACACCTAAAAAAAGCTATAAAATGCCACTCTCCTCATATGTTAGTGATTGAAAATATTTGTTCAGTTATCCAAACATGATGCATTAAAAGTTCATACTTAATAATACACGTAAAATCATCAAACGTTATTTTGCTAGACATGTGAAATAATACCACCTTAGCTTACTCTATGCTTCAGTAATGCCAATGAAATATTCTGCCAGTAAAATTGCTAAAGTTTCTCCTGGTGTTCTAAGTATGAAAAGGCACATCACAACAATATATATAATTGATATTTCAATGTATTAATTTAGTGTAAAAATAATTACAGCTGTAGGTTGAGAAATGTTGCAACAACAAGGATTGAAAATAAACTAAAAATGTATTCAAAGTTATCTTATTAATTGAAGTTCTATTTTCACAATAAGCATATGAAAGTAGGCCTTTAGGGCATCACAGAACATTTAAAAAATTTGTATTTGAAAGTTATGATGCACCTTACCAAAGACACACTGTTGTGTGTTCTTAATCTTTTCGGTACTTTTGTGGTAGTCAAGTCTACTGATATCCAGTTGGTATGCTTAAAAACATCTGCAAAATCCAGACTCCAGGAAAGTTACACAAAGGATATATTGAACACAAACAGCAAAGGAATAATAAACACAAGTTAACAAATAAAAACAACACTTGATTCACAATTGTTCTAAATACCTACCTAAACTGACTGCTGGAGTGAGGGGTAAAGTCAAGAATAATTTAAATCCAAGTCTCCACAAGACAAGGACAATTCTGTTTTATTTCCAAAATTCTAACAAAAACATTAAAGTGCAGTATATTTTACTGACTGTCCCAGAAATAACCCTTAGCTCATACCAATTTGTACAAGTAGCTATACCACCTCTTGACATGAGCTCACCCTTCCCTCAGGGAATTGCACACAGGGCCAAAGTGATGAGAGTTTCTAACCATTTTAATATGCAAGTTTTAGCTGAGCAAAAGAAGTACTACATGCTTATACCCTTTGGACATTTGATTTACACAAACATCATACTATATGCAGAATCATTGGCTAAAGATATAGAAAAAATATACCTGAATACAAATGATAAAGTATGTTCTAAACTAGTCATGGAAGGGTTAAATTAATGACTATTTCATTCATAGCACTCATGTTTTCCCCATTTCTTGATTTGTCTTAAAAACCAAATTTGATATATTTCAGTTTAGAGGTTATTTATTCTGTAATGTATAACTAACTTGAAAGACAAATTCCTGGACACTTTGAGAGAATCTTTTAACCCTGATAAGTTAAGCTTCATCATATATTAATTATTTATTAGTTCCATAATCAAGTTATGCTAATTAGGGCTTAGGTAAAGTCTACTTGAGTTACATTTCAAACAAATAGTCATAGATTAATTATCTTAGTCTTCAAAACAAATTAATAACATTTTAATACAAAAATTAAAGTTGGGCAGTTAGTGGAATTTATCAATTGATTATTTTCATGAGACTTGGATAGTTGGAATAATTCAAATTAGTAATTCAAAACAATAATTTTGATTAGTTGATTATTTTCATGATATTAAATGATTCTGTCATGCTTTTGATTAATCAACTAATTGAGTTAATCACCCAACTTTCTTCATGATTGAACTATGTCTTTGCTTCCAAGAAATGATCTGTCATTTGTTTGGATGAAATTCCTTTAGATTGGAGATTGGCTACAGATCTTATCATAACTCACTTTGTTAGCTTTCAGACTGATTTGATAAAAATGTGTCTTAAGTTTAACAGTATTATTTATTAGCCAAAAATCAGCAAGGAACCAATTTGTAAACACTTTCATCAGTTATTTTTTTTCTAATTTTGAAAGTGCAATTTAGGAACTTCATTATTTCTAACTTTGTTTTTCACTTACTTAAAACTGTAAGGATAAAGTTTTAATATCATTTTTTCCCACCTTTAATTAAATGAACCTCAAAGCAATAAAAATAGTTGCCATAGTTATATCAGCTGTATTTTAGAAGTTACTGTTAAAGAATTCAAAATATAATTGTGTAACAGGTAATTCCTGTTTTACCCTTTACATTCATGAATCTTTTTTTTTTTATACTCGTGGAATTATACACAAAGAATGGATCATGACATTCTTGATCAAACCTCTTCAATAGTTTATTTATTGTATAAGTATTCTCAACTGCTAAGGATATTGTGATGTTTCAGTAGAATGAGTGTATTTCCATGTTCCAGAATGCATTAGCAATCTGCCATCCATGCAATTTGCTTGACCCTTTAAAAAAAATGTATAGTGATTGTGTATGTATGCTGGCATTTCCTGCTTCTTGTCCTCAATCTGTAATAATATGGTGTTGTACAAGAGGACCCCATAATAATCTAATAAAGATGAATTTGTAAAAAATACTTTGTTGTTTTGAATAGTATTTTGTAAAAACAACAATTAAGTTCTGGTACTAGTAAAATAGTTTATTTTTTACCATTGCCATAATTTTGATGCATCATATTCAGGTGGAGTCCAATTAGATAGTCACTAATTATATTGCTAAAGAATCTAAGCAAAATTTTTTAAGTATTCTAAATTTCATTTGAAAGAATCTTTCCAAACATCAAATAGTAATGATTATGATTCTAAAGAGAAAACCCAACATCTCTATTCAAGTAATACCAAGCACAAGTATATAAGTTTCACTAACTTTTTTTTCTCTCTTTAGTTTAGACCAAAAAAAAAATTTTTTGTTTCCAGTAATGCAACTGACCCATTTTTTAATGAAAATCAAAGGTTTTAACTTTTCTTTAACAATAAAAAATATCTTCTGAAATGAATAAAATATTAAAAATTATACATATATTTCAGAAAACAGAGCGTCAGGTGAAATCATGAAGGAATAAAAAAACTGTTGATCTGATGAATCCATTATTATTGTGTGGTGTTTGTCATTAACTGTGTACTATCCACAAAATCAGGTGATATGAAGCATGATTTGGACATCCATTTAGTGCATGTTATATATTACTGACTACATACTTTGTACTGATGAAATAAATTTGGCCCTTAAAACAATATTCATAGAAAACACTGGATTCCCTTACACCAATACATAGTATAAATACCAATATGCTATTTCAACACATGATTTACACAGTTTTACTAACAGGTGGCAGTGGCATCACTCCAGAAAACAGGATAATGCTGGAAGTGCAAAGTTAAACATTCAAAATTCTGGTGGCAGTAATAAAGACAATGGAAAAGAAGTCAATTGGAAAAAAAAAATTAAGACAATTACATAAATAGGTAAAAAGTAAAAAAAAAAAAAGGGTTATATTTTAGAGATGGTATAAAATGACAAATTCTGAAATAAGCATTTTACTTTTCTACTATCACATACATATGTAAACTCTGTTATCAATTAATAGTTATTGATACTGTCTCCCAAAATACTTTTTTTCCTGTTGTCTTTATAACCTAGATTTGCAGAATTCACGTAACATGACATGATTAAAACTAGACATGCTGAGCTCTTGCAGCATGAGATGAGAAGGCTACCACAGTGCAAAGAAACACACAATAAACAAACTGTAAAATAATAATAAATATAAAAGACACATTTAATTGTACAATGTTATTGCCACATTTTAATTTTTTGATTGGTCATGGCAGTGTATGACTTGCCAGCCCTGACTTCATATCACTGATGTGTGATAAATTTACTGATTTAAATTTCTAGTACAGGATTTGCTTTCCATATATATTGTTAAAGGTTGTTTGTGCATAAAATTACAATGTTTTGTAAAACAACACAATATGTGTACAACTTACTTTTATAATTGAAATGAGGGCTTTTGACTCTTGCAGTAGATTCTATAATGATGATGGGGAGGTACTCTTCAAATATCAGTGTTCAGTAACATTTTATATTTTAATATCATGAAAGAGGCCTACCTGTAATTAAATATTTATTTGAAAATAGAAACAAAATAATTGTAAAATATATTATGTTTACATTTTGTGTTTTTAATGGGAGTGCTTTGAGAATATTTTCATCAGACTGATGTCATGATTTAATTTTGTTTTAAGGAATGTTTAACATAGGGATGAAAAATTTTTAAGACTACAATGTCAAAAAAAAAAAGTTTTCTTTCAAGAATTAACTATGATTTTACCTTACTCCAAAAAATTTTGGGTGAACACAAAAAAATTTACATAATTTCCTTCAGAACATGATAAGATGAATTTTTATACCTTGATGACAACGTAGTGGAAACAGTCCAAATCACCTCCACTATAATAGTTTGAAAATGTGGTCAACTACATAAAATACACGTTAACAGTATGCAACATGGCCAATCAGGTCAGTATTCACTCTTCAACGCATCAAATTTAATGTAAGCCTTTATACATATACATAAGGTAGGTAGTAGTTTATCTACCCTTTTATACCTAATATAGAATATATATTTAGTTTAGATACATTCAGGTTTTTTGTTGTTTTTTTTAACATTTTATGCAGGCATTCTGCACGTACTTCATATATTCCATTAAACCAGATGTACAAAGATCATAAACTTACACTCTCCTTTTGCTTAAGTAAAGAAAACACACTACACTGGCTACTCCATAGAGGCTTGTGCCAGTTTGTACAAGTGTCTGTGATTACTCCCCGGGGTGATAAGCCAAGGGTGACATGGATACATGTGCCGTTCATGACCAAAAAAGCATCATTTAAAAAAAATCAGTTATACATGTGACGTTGTCATCATATGACAGCTGTTTACATACATTCACACAGAAAGTTTCATGTGCAGATAGTGTATGTACATTACATAAAAAACTGGACTAAATAAAACACAGATGGATCAGGAAGTTTACCTTCCTCTGAATCATTTTACTATATTGAAGCATCTGCTTTCTTCAGTCATAGGTGCCTGACTTACCTAGAAAACCAACTAAAGATGGCATGCATCATAAATGTGTGTGTGCAGAAGATAAAAAAATATATGCAACAGGTAACATAAAACTAATTATAAAAGATGATTGCTACTGAACAGATAATGGTACAAACCAACCTGTATGGGGATATTTAGGAAGAAGCATACAACAGTCATCCACACAGGACCAGCCATCAAAAGTCTTCAGACTCTCTTATAAAGACTCTACTTTGAGAATATGTTTTAAGATATATATAAGATATACATACAATTAAATGTAAGAGAAATCATGAGGAAGAGACATGCAAGTAATATGAACATGTCGATAGATTAAAAGTAAATATAATGACTTATCATACACAAAGTGGAATTTCTAATGGATTATCTGATGATATAGTTAGTAAGGACAAAACGCCCATGTAAAGCTAGACAACACAATTTTTCTAGGTTTACTGAATTTAAATCTTATCTGACCAAAGACACGCTTGATAAAAGTATATACCGATTACAATGAACCCTATCCTACTAAATACAAACATTTTCACCAAATACAGCTAAAGAATGATTTGAGTCTAATCATTAAAAGAAACTATCACTCACTTATCTGTGACTAAAAAACTTGTGTATCTTGTAATTCCATGGAAAGCATTTTATTTCTTTTTTTTTACCTTGGTAATAACTCATTTAACTAATTTTTAAGAGAATAATTTTCATAAGTATTCTATGTAGATGTTATTAAATAACATTTTTTATAACAGCTCAATTAAAGATATTAGAAAACAAATTGTCAATAGTTTTCACCATTGTATTTATTTTATATCAAATAGTCCATTAGCAATGAAGTGATACAGTTTTAATCAATTGACAGTACTTATGTGATTACTTTCACCTTTATAAATATGAAAAAAGCTAAAAAAAAATACAGTATACTGATATTAAAACAAAACTCGCATAAAAGCCTGGACTAAAAATAAAGGACTTACTAAACAAGCCTAAAAAACTGGACAAATTAAATGTGAAAATTTTGAATATATATATATATGTGTGTGTATATTGGTGAAAGTAGTACAAGTCTAAAAACAAAATTTAACAAACACTTAAAAGGACCATCACATGTAATAAAATGTAATCATAAAATAAATTATGAAAACAAAGATATTGACTATTGAATAACGAATAAGATTTACACAACAAAAAAATTAAGGGAGCATTACTAATAACAATACAGAAACCTAACACCAATATTAATAAAGGATTTCCCCTTTAACTTTATCGAGTGGCCTCTATAACACAATTGCTGTTTAAACAGCTTAAAAGCCAACAACAATTCCATCCTACAGTTTGCAAATGTGTTAGAGCAGACAGTCATAGATTTTGACTGTGATGGTATTTCTTGTTGCATCAGACTCACATATAATGTTTTATGCAGAATATGTAACCTGTAACATATTCTTTACTATAGTCTGTCAGACACCAGATCTGACCACTGAGTTAATGTGGCTACAATTTCAACTTTATGAGAGATAGTAACATGTGGTTAAACTGTCAGTCCTTAGTTGTTAGTTTGTTACATAGACAAATATGACCTGTATACTTAAAGGTTCACTCATTTTCCAATTTTTGGATTTCAATCTTCAACATGGCTATTTCAAACCTAGGAGAATAAATAAGTAGGAAAATGTGAAGGTGATAAAATAAGGAAATTAGACTTTTGGAGATAAATAACTTTAAAAAATTTTGGTTGTGATTTATTTTCTTGGCAACATTTCAAGCCAGAAATAAGCCTGTCAGTTGATGACAACTGCAGGAACATTTTGGCTTGTTTCTGATTTAAAAAAAAAAGCATTTGCTTGAAATGTCGCCAAGAAAATAAATTACAACCATAATTTTTTAAGGCGATGTATCTCCAAAAGTCTTATTTTAAACCTCATACTTACTTCTTCTGCTTCAAAGGTTATGTCTTGTATTTTGGTGTAACAACTGGTGGTGAAGTAATGCAAAATCTTGGTGGAGGTGAATGTACTTGTTGTGGTTGTTTACTGTTATTACAAACAAGTATAGAAAATTCATGCAAAATAATAGCAGTTAAATACTTATTAGTATCAACAATAAGTTGATTTTCTCATCCTCATAATATTTATGAATATTTTCCTATGTGAGTAAGGATTTTGCACCTACACATGTCCTGCAAATGTATATTCTTTTGTAAGGTTTTCAAATGGAAACAGCACCTTTAAAGATAGATAAATGGTTTATTTCCCTTCTTTCTATCTTTAAAGTGACAGCTACACATTTTTACAGCTTTGAAGCAAGTCTTATCTTCTTTCATATAAAACAAATTATGTTGACATTTTAAAACTATAAAAATTAAACTAACAGAAATAATGTTGTTTTATAAAAAGTCTACACAGATGTTTTTGGGTATTAGTTCATTATAATCACTTACAATAACAATACAGTGAAAATGTCTTCACAGACATGTATTTAAAAAAAACAACAGATTTTATATAATGTATATCTCTCTGAAAAAAAAGGCCTTGCTAGACACTCAAAATAAAACAGTTTCATTGAGCTCTTTCACAGCCTATTTAAGCAGTGAAAAGCAAATAGCAGAAAAAAGATTTTAAACTTACAAAATACAGATATACTCAAAGAATCAAAAATATATTTGTCAAGAATACAACTACACAGAATGTTTTCATAATATATATTATTATAAATAAAGATAATACTACTATAAATACAACAACCACAACCAACCTATAAGTATCCATTAATATACAAAGTTGTTTAGGGTTCTGCCACAGAAATGAAATGTGATCATCATATAGGTCTTCCTTTCACTGTTGAAGCTGCATGTACAATCTGCTTCAAAGCACTGTACCATACTAATATTTTTATCCAAATCACTCGCATATCTTCAGAATTTCTTAGATATAAAATAAAGAACATGAAGGCACGCTATGACAACTTACTGCCCATATTTTCATCCGTAATTCAAGAAGACTAAATCCTATAAATGTTTTAAACACTTGAATTACTTATACTTTTTTGTAAGCTCAAGAAAAAGCTTTTATCTTCTTTTTGTACTTCAAAATTAACAAACCTGGCCTGTCACATACAACAAGTAGCTGATAGTTTTAAATTCTTTAACAAATCTTTTGTTTTCAGCCCACAAAAACCACTTCTTTCACACACAGTCCTTTATCACCATAAGATTCATGCATTATTTCTCGGTAATGAAACTTATCTTCCCAAGTTAAATCCATATTGAATCCTAATGAAAAATATCAACATATATTGTCATTGTTAGCATTCTACCACTATGCCAATTTTCTATCTAATTCATTAAACTTTAATGTTTCCAACAATTTCACACTTGTCTAACTTACTATTCTATTTCTTAAAATAACATCTTAACAATAACTTTCTGAAAACCAAGATAAAAAAACTTCAATTAAATTGCTCTTTATTCAAGAAGTAGAAGCAATAAAAAACTACAAACTGATATGACAAAAGAATCCTTATCTATAACTCTACAACATTTTTATAAGAAAACTCTGACATTAAATTTCAATGCCTTTAAAAAAAAGAAAAAGAGCATCATATCAGCACTCTACCAAGCATCAGAAAAAATATCAACATATCAAGAAACATTTGAAAACCTGCAAAAGTCAAAGTCTTCATTAAATTTTTACTACATTTTTAATATTTGTACTAATGAAAATAGACATTACCTGAGATGTAACAATGTTAATTTTCATGCTGGCATTTACAAGAATGAAAAGTAATACATTGAATTAAGTCATTATATAACACAAATTTTCTATTTTTTAAGATAGTACACAAAGCATTAACAAATAACAATTATGCAGTAAAAGATCCATCATATTTAAAACTTAAAATATTTATTTTTCTCAATTTAGTAAAAATATATCCAAAGTTTAGAACACTCTTATACATGCTCAGTACCATTGACCATTACATTGTTACTTACAGTTGACAATTCTGCCACTTTATTTCTTACACTCACATAAATTTCATTCTTTATATAAAACCTCAGGGGTTTATCAGCCCAATCTTTCCCTGCTCCGTCAATTCCAATTCGTTTGCACTGAACAATGTCTGATTCAGAAATACTTGTGCCTTTCTCTAACCATAGCACACTACTATTTGTTAGGTCTTCAGTATTAAGTTCATCTTTATTAATTTGAAATGCCTGACACAATTTGGATGGTCCATTACAGAGATCTTTCAATTTCAACAACTGTCCTTTATCTTGTCGTTTAAAGCCCCGGAATTTTCTCATCAAATCAATCCCTTCTAAGGGTTCTAGTGCTCTTACTAAAACGGCTGCTCCATCACCATCACTGGAAATGTTAAAGCAGTAATACATGCCATAGATAGAATAAACATATGCTGTTCCAGGTTTCATAAACATTGCTGCATTCCTTACAGTGCGTTTTCCTTGACAAGAATGAGAAGCTTTATCATCTCCTCCAAGATAACTTTCTGTTTCTACAATTCTTCCTCGTAAAATCACACCATTGGATAAACACCGTACCAAAATTTGGCCAAGGAGCTGTTTTGCCAAGTCGATGCATGAAGAATTAAAGAAGTAACTTCCTAATTTCTCAACTTTTTCATTCTTAAAATAAGAATTTGAACAACGTAAAGACTCTGCTTTAACCACATTATTACAAGTAGATGATTCATAACGAAAGTACTCACTTCCCAGAAGTTCAGGCTTCTTTAAAATTAAATG